AGGTCGACATGCTAAGGTCGACATGCCAAGGTCGACATGCTAAGGTCGACATGCTAAGGTCGACATGCTAAGGTCGACATGCTAAGGTCGACATGCTAAGGTCGACATGCTAAGGTCGACATGCTAAGGTCGACATGCTAAGGTCGACATGCTAAGGTCGACATGCTAAGGTCGACATGCTAAGGTCGACATGCTAAGGTTGACATGCTAAGGTTGACATGCTATGCTAAGGTTGAAATGCTAACGTTGACATGCTAAGGTTGTAAACAAAATATGTATTATTATTATTATTATTATTATGCCAAAGTGCTGCACATTTAGCATGAAGTAATGAAACAGTCATAATACTTTTATAAGCAGAAAGACGACACGCAAAAAAGACACAACACAGACAATGTGCAAAAGTAAAATACAACATGTAGAGTTAAAGAAAGTTATAGGAAGGTCGTTTGATAAAAGTGGGTTTTAAGAAATGATTTAAAATAATAGGTGATAAATAATGAGATTATTAAAATAAGGTACTGATGGAGCTAGCCTGATCTCCTCGGGCCGGTGGTTCCAGAGTCGAGGAGCCCGGACAGAGAAGGTTCTATTACCTTTCCTCCGGAGCCTCATATGCTAACGTTAACATGCTAACGTTAACATGCTGACGTTAACATGCTGACGTTAACATGCTGACGTTAACATGCTGACGTTAACATGCTAACGTTAACATGCTAACGTTAACATGCTGACGTTAACATGCTGACGTTAACATGCTAACGTTAACATGCTGACGTTAACATGCTGACGCTAACATGCTAACGCTAACATGCTAACGCTAACATGCTAACGTTAACAGGGGTCTTAGGACAGTGGTAATGATCCAGGACACTTAAAGGGCCCATATCACGGTTTTTGACTTTTCTCTGCTTTAAACATGATTACAGTGCTATTTGGCCTTCATACACAAGCCCACAGTAGTTTATTCATTGATTCTGTCAATCTTTTGTAAGAGAGCAATCTGTCTACTTCCCCAGCGTGAGGCACAGAAACGCTCGGGTCCACTTCAGTGACGAAAACCACACTGATGACGCGCATGACCCCGTTTGCTTTGTATTTAAAATAGTTGTTAAATACTTTTGTCAAAACGGGGTAAACAATACACAATTAGTATGCTGTTTTTTGTCAAAAATAATAAAAATAAAAATAAATTAAAAGCCGGCGGGAGGTGATTGACGGATCAAAACAGCGAATCAGAGCGCACAGGCTCCGGCTCCCGAGTCCAGCGTCTGTGGTCTGGTCTCGCGGACACCACATAGAGCTGCTGTTTTTATGCTTTTGTCAGCAACTAAAAGTGTTAGGATCACATCAACTTGAATGAAGTGTGTTATGGGTGTAAATATGTGACACACTATTTGGCCCTAAGAGGAAGAAAGCGGCTCGACTTTTTTCATCTGTTCATCTCATGGATCTATTATAAACCGGTTCATCTGCGACACTTCACTGAGACTGTTCCAGAACTACAGGGACAATGGAACTGGACTTACTCAAAAGCTGATCTGGAAACACGTTATTCCCACGGTAAAAGACGATACTCGGACCCCCTCGATCTGTAAGTAGTGACGCTAACTCGCTGTATACTTCTGTAAACTAAATAACTAGGCTCTGATTGTGCATCGAGGACATAGGGCTCAATGTGACGGATTGTCATTGTTGGAAAAAGTTTATTCTTATGTATGAAATTACTAAGTACAGGTGATAAAGGACAAAAGCGTGATGCTACGTCACCGTGCGGGCGGGGGGAGGCGGGCTCACAGGCAGAGGAGCAGACTCTTCTCTGGATCAGCTCGTTTGAGTCGAGGTGACGTCACCTCTATACAAGAGATGGCTCTAATCTCACAAGCTTTGATTGTTGTGTGGTGTATCATACACATTAATATCACACATGTGTATAGGATTGAGTGTGAAACATGAAGAAAAGCGTGATATAGGACCTTTAACATTCAACAACATTTATGGACATAGAACCATTTTTATCTGTGTTTTAGAACAGTTTGATTCTCTGATCTTTGTTGGTGAATCGACATCTTGTCCTCCAACATAACTACTGTTGTGATTTAGGGTTATTCAAAAATAAATAGAAGTTGTAGTTTTATTTACAACGTTTGAGAATACGGAATCTTTACAAGACGCCGTGGAGCGCGTCCTCGGGTCCGGAGCCTCGAGCGGCTTCTCCGCGGGGTGCATACCGGACCAGAACTCCTCAGACCCGAAGGGGAGACTTCACAGAATCGAGTGCAGTTTTTGAAGGACCTCTGGATCATTACTCTCTGTGATCGCTGCGGGTGAGACGTGGTGAAAAGGCTGAGGGTGAGCTGCTTCTCCTGAGCTGCATCGGTGGCTCGTCCTGTCGGGCCACATTCCAGGTTCGAGGAGGAGGAGGAGGAGCAATCACTTTGCTTCATAACTGCCAAATATTTTGTGGTTCAGGAAGAAGGTTAAATATTCTACACTTGCCTAACAGCAATTTCTCAGGCATCGACCGAGAGATTACAAATGAAATATACACAGCAAAAAGTGATAACATATGAGGTAATAATTGCTTGAATCAAGTTGTTTTTGTCTTAATTTGACACATTTGTGCTGCATTAAAGGTCCTCTGTGTCATGTTTACAGCTGCTGCAAATGTAATAACATGTTACCAATAACGAATGTGACCTTTGAAAGAATATTAACCTCCACCATGTTTTTGAATTCTTGTCATAGACTTAGAATTTGACGTATAAATGTCCATGAGGCTGGAGAACTCTACATGTCTATGCGCCATCTTGAAATACAGTGGCTGATAAGGGACAAAAAGGAGTTTGAGCGGGAGTTGGGGACCACTGTCAAAGACCACATATTGTCGTACAAAGCCACCGTAGAACCGTAAATTACAAAATATGATCTCAAAGCTAGATGGGAGTGAAAACTACAAAGTGCTCCTTTAAATCAAGATTTGCCAATGAGACGAGCTAAATTAACTTGTTTTAAAAAGATACAGAAATGTTTCCCTCAGAATGACCTAAAAAGAAGCAGCAGTTCTTGAAAAAAAGACTAAATGGTTTTGTTCCATTTGAACAGGGGTGTCAAACTTATTTTGGTTGAGGGCCGAAAAAAAAATTAAAGGGCCGTTCAGGGGCCGAAAGAAGAAGTGGGTTTCATTTTTTATACTTTTTATAATATGAAGGTATCTATATAAATGACTTGTTTCACATTAGTTAGACTGGATATTCTTTTTTGAATAGATTTAGTTCAGTTCCTGTGGACTGGACCAAAACTGGACCAAATATTGAAGATTTTCTACTTCCGGGTGGATCATCAGACTATTGGTCCTCCCAACTGTCAATCATTCTGGTGATTCGTGCTCGTCAAATAAGACCAGAGAGTTTTGTTCAAAATGCTGCTATTTAATATAATAATTTAAAATCATCTCAGGGGCCACTGGAAATGGTCTCGCGGCCCGGATCTGGCCCCCGGGCCTTGACTTTGACACCTGTGCATTTGAAGAATCTGGTTTGAACACTGTCAGAATGTGTCAAATTAAGATAAAAATACTTGATATGAGACATTATCGCCGCATATTTTATCACTTTTTGCAGTGTATACATTTGTGTGCGTCCAGATAATCAAACAAATTTAATTTAATTACATTTTTTTGCCCTAAATCAAAACAGTAGACTCCTTCGAGGGGTTCGCAAAGTTGTCGACTTGCCAACAACAGATCAGAGAATCAATCCGTTCGTACCAGTGGGGGCGGGTCCCGGCTCAAAAGTGACCATGATGTGCGCTGACATGCTTGACCCGGAAGTAGAATTAGCCAATGCTAACATATAGCGTTAGCAGACCTCTCAAAAACGTCTTTACAGGATGGACCAAAAGTTGGCTCTTGGTCCAAAGCTCCGTTCCACATGTGTGTCAATGCTGAGGGGGCTGTTTTGGTCCACTCTAGTTTACTCGCTGTGAATTTTTGAAGTCTCTCGTTCAAATGAATGGAGTTGCTCTTCTATGACTTCAAAAAGGTATTTCAAAGCTGATTTGTGCGGTGTTCGATCCTGCCAGACCTCTGAAGCTGTGCAGGGCAGGGCCTGGTCAGTACTGTGATGGGAGACCTCTGGGAACACCAGGTGCCACAGTGGGGCGGCTGCGGCTGTAAAGTGCCAAACTGTTGTTGTGTCCTTAGGCAAGACACTTCACCCCCATTGCATAGAATGAGTCTGGTGTGTGTGTATGTGTGTGTGTTGGAGGTCTGAGGGTTCGATGGCACATACTGGTCGCCTCACTTCTTTCAGTGTGCCCCAGGGCAGTTTTGGCTACAATAGTTTATTCATTCACTCCATACACGACGGTGATAATGACATGTGAAGCGTCTTTGAAGGTCCTGAAAAGCGCTGTATACAACTTATTATTATTGTGTTATGGCCTGTCTTTTATACTCATCCTTATTTCCTTGTTTTTCAGTATTTTCGTCAACATGGACGACACCATTGTGGAGCACTACAGTAACCAGTCGGCCTTCCTCATCGAAGTGTCCTCCGCTGAGGGCCAGATGCAGCTGACTCTGGTGGAAGTATGAAGCTCAGAGCTGCTGGACTGAACGTCACGAGCCGTTTGAACTCTTTCACTCTTGGATCTTCATGATTCCATCGTGATTTTTACATCTGAAGCAATTTAGCCCTGTTACCACCACCCCCACTTCACTCTTCTCTACTCTACATGGTTGCGTTTAGTATTTGGTACCGTATACTTGCAACCGCATACCCGCAACAAACCAGTGTCCGTGGGAAATTCCTTGGTTACCATGGCTTCCAGCAGCACTCTGGTCAATCACTGCCAGTTAGAACACTTTAGTACCAGATCGGCCCGCATAGAACCAGGACTGAGAGGGACTACACTGCAAAAAGTGATGGAAAATAAGTCAGAAATGGCTCAAATTTGGCAAAATGTGTCTTGACTTGAGCAGATTTTGACTTCCTTACAAACCAATGGGACAAAACACAACAATTTTGTTTTAAAAAGATAAAGAATTTCTCCCTTGGATTGTTCTTGTGATAACATTAAATGGCTTTGTCCCTTTGGCAAATCTTATTTTAGGAGTCAGAATGATAAAAACACTGGATTCAAGCTATTTTCACCTCATATTTCATCATTTTTTGCAGAGTAAAGAAGGACCAGATTAAACAGGCCGCCTTCAAACCAGTAGAGTAGAGTTGGTGGATACAGGACTTAAACATTTTTTTTAATGTATTTATGTATATAAATTTAACATGATAGTGTTATATCAATTCAGTAGTCAACCATTTTGTGTTTTTATTTGCTTTTGTTACATTTTCAGGCAAATCTCGCTGCTTTTTATTGTAATTATCATTTCTCTGATTAAGAACGGATCCATCGGGGTCAGTTCACCCCGACGGTCCGACGCCACCGAGGTTTTCTACCGGTTCCTGTCAGTTTCACAACCAAATACAATTGTCACACATTTCGCTCTAAATTCCTAAATCTTTGGACATTTCTTGTACCTTTTTTCTAGTGTAACCACAACCAGGAACGATGGGTAATCTGCAAACAAAGGGTACACACTGTAAAAACATTGTGTTGTTTTATGCATCATTTCAAAGCATTTCCCTGTTATTTCATTATGCATGTTGTGTGTGTGTCATATCTTGCCTCTTTTGTACGAAAATAAAGAAAATTCGCAACAGCTTTTTGTGCCTCATTGGTTTTAGCCAAGTAACTACTGTTTTGTGTGTGGTCAAATCTCCAGGGAGGAAGACCAGGATTCAAGATTTTTCTGTTCTAACACAAAATCAAGAATTCTTTGATCCGTCCCTTTTCCTCCTATGTCTAATTCTTACAAAAAGTGTATTCTCTTCTTTCCCTGCTCAGAGTGAAGAATTTCTCAAACAATTATTGTCTGATTTATGAGGTTTTTCTCTCACTGCGCAAACCAATGTCTACCTAGACCCAGTAGTATCTGTTGTCTCTGTCTCTGGACCAATGGCTGTTCCTCTGACTGGGGCCATATGGAGCGGAATGACCACTGTCCGGAAAGGTAAATACATGTGCAGAAATGTTCACTGTCTTAGACGCTCCTGCATCGACAACGATCCACTCAAACACAAACCAGTGGGAAAAAAGTGAGAATCCTTCATACATATTGAGAGAAGAATTTGCTCCCTCGAGCAGACGGGCTATAGATCCTGGACTGAGGCTGTAGACCCAGGACTGAGGCTGTAGATCCTGGACTGAGGCTGTAGATCCTGGACTGAGGCTGTAGACCCAGGACTGAGGCTGTAACACCCAGGACTGAGGCTGTAACACCCAGGACTGAGGCTGTAGATCCTGGACTGAGGCTGTTACACCCAGGGCCTCAAGGAATTGCATTATAATGAAATACAGCAAGTGCAGCATCCAGAATAAAGACATTTTGAGACATTTCTTTTAAGGCCAACTTTACAGAAGAAAGTGCATGTTCCGATGTCAATTTGCAAAGTCCTTTATTATAAAGGAAGCAAAATGGGACCAACCGCTTGTGTGTAGTTTGTTTACCACTGTGAGCATAAGCTTTTATTGGTGTGTAAGTCTCACACTGATCACATCTCCGTCACAAGGTTCAACGCAGTCATTCTGACACAGCAACATGTGGCAGAGTCCCAGCAGGAGGCCAGTCCCTATGCTCCTCGTGGTCCCAGCAGGAGGCCAGTCCCTGTGCTCCTTAGTCCCAGCAGGGGGCCTCGTCGTCCCAGTTGGTTCATATGGCTCTAACATACACACTCTGTGTCCTTTCTGAACTTTTGTTTGTTGTTCGGTGATTTCATGCTGTTTGATTTGTATTCTTGAATGGTATTAAATCAAATGTGTTGTAAATAATGTTATTTAAAGTCTGTAAATGTATTAATCTAGCTAAATTAGAATCTGTTTAAATGAAAATAACACCAGCCCAGGGACCACAGGGGGACATTAGCATCGTACAATGCATCTTTCCCTTGTGTAATATTTAACTGTAAACTGTCCCTGGTCAAATAATGTACATACCATACCATACCATAGTAAGTAAGTAAGTAATCTTTATTTATATACCGCCTTTCACAGACCAGAGTCACAAAGCGGTTTACAATTGTTATTTTTGGGCACTTGTCCTCTCACTCCACACAGAGATGGGAGCGGGGTCGCCGAACAGGAGGCGCATGCCAGACCTATTGTACATATTTTTAGTGGTAGGGGAAACCTACCACTAGGTTTCCTCCGAGTACCCGGAGGAAACCTACGCAGACACGGGGAGAACATGCAAACTCCACTCAGAAAGGCCCTGGTCCGGCCGGGATTCGAACCCAGGACCTTCTTGCTGAGAGGCGAGAGTGCTATCCACTCAGCCACCGTGCCGCCCTATACCATACCATACCATACCACACCATACCACACCACACCATACCACACCACACCCTACCACACCATACCATACCATACCACACCATACCACACCACACCACACCACACCACACCATACCCTACCACACCATACCATACCATACCATACCACACCATACCATACCACACCATACCATACCACACCATACCATACCACACCACACCACACCACACCACACCACACCACACCCTACCACACCATACCATACCATACCACACCACACCATACCATACCATACCACACCATACCACACCACACCACACCACACCATACCACACCATACCATACCATACCATACCACACCATACCACACCATACCACACCACACCATACCATATCATACCACACCATACCACACCACACCATACCATACCACACCATACCACACCATACCACACCACACCACACCACACCACACCACACCACACCCTACCACACCATACCATACCATACCACACCATACCACACCACACCACACCACACCACACCACACCATACCATACCACACCATACCATACCACACCATACCACACCATACCACACCACACCACACCACACCACACCATACCACACCACACCCTACCACACCATACCATACCATACCACACCATACCACACCACACCACACCACACCACACCACACCACACCACACCACACCACACCATACCATACCATACCACACCATACCACACCACACCACACCACACCACACCACACCATACCATACCATACCACACCATACCATACCACACCATACCATACCACACCATACCACACCATACCACACCACACCACACCACACCACACCACACCCTACCACACCATACCACACCATACCATACCACACCACACCACACCACACCACACCATACCATACCCTACCACACCATACCATACCATACCACACCATACCACACCACACCACACCACACCACACCACACCACACCATACCATACCATACCATACCACACCATACCATACCACACCATACCATACCACACCATACCACACCACACCATACCACACCACACCATACCACCATACCACACCATACCACACCACACCACACCACACCACACCATACCATACCATACCATACCACACCACACCATACCACACCATACCACACCATACCATACCACACCATACCACACCACACCACACCACCACACCATACCACACCATACCATACACACCACACCACACACACACCAACACACCACCAACACACACCCACACCATACCACCACCATACCACACCATACCATACCACACCACCATACCATACCACACCACACCACCACCATACCACACCATACCAACCACACCATACCATACCACCACCACCACCACACCAACCAACCATACCATACCCACACCACACCACACCACCACACCACATACCACACCACACCACCAACCACACCACCACACCACACCACACCATACCACACCAACCATACCATACACACCATACCATACCATACCACATACCACACCATACCACACCATACCATACCATACCACACCATACCCTACCACACCACAGCACACCACACCACAGCACACCCACAGCACACCACACCATACCATACCACACCACACCACACTACACCACACCACACCACACCACACCCTACCACACCATACCATACCACACCACACCACACCACACCACACCACACCATACCATACCATACCACACCATACCATACCACACCATACCATACCACACCATACCACACCACACCATACCACACCACACCATACCATACCATACCACACCATACCATACCACACCACACCACACCACACCACACCACACCATACCATACCATACCACACCATACCATACCACACCATACCATACCACACCATACCATACCACACCATACCACACCACACCATACCATACCATACCACACCATACCATACCACACCATACCATACCATACCACACCATACCATACCACACCATACCATACCACACCATACCACACCATACCACACCACACCACACCACACCACACCATACCATACCATACCATACCACACCACACCACACCACACCATACCACACCATACCACACCATACCATACCACACCACACCACACCACACCATACCACACCATACCATACCACACCACACCACACCACACCACACCACACCATACCATACCACACCATACCATACCACACCATACCATACCACACCATACCATACCACACCATACCACACCATACCACACCATACCATACCATACCACACCATACCCTACCACACCACAGCACACCACAGCACACCACACCATACCACACCATACCACACCACACCACACTACACCACACCACACCACACCATACCATACCACACCACACCATACCATACCACACCACACCACACCATACCACACCATACCATACCACACCACACCACACCACACCACACCACACCATACCATACCATACCACACCATACCATACCACACCATACCATACCACACCATACCATACCACACCATACCACACCATACCATACCATACCACACCATACCCTACCACACCACAGCACACCACACCACACCATACCATACCACACCATACCATACCACACCATACCACACCACACCACACCATACCATACCACACCATACCATACCATACCACACCATACCATACCACACCACACCACACCACACCACACCATACCATACCATACCACACCACACCATACCATACCACACCACACCATACCATACCCACCATACCATACCATACCATACCATACCCTACCACACCACACCACACCATACCATACCATACCACACCATACCATAACACACCATACCATACCACACCATACCATACCACACCATACCATAACACACCATACCATACCATACCACACCATGCCATACCACACCATACCATACCATACCACACCATGCCATACCACACCATACCATACCATACCACACCATACCATGCCATACCACACCATACCACACCATACCATTGGTGCGGTCCTGGAATGACCCTGAGCTTTTATGTGTTGCTTTGTGAACATTCAGACACAGCCTGAGGTTCGGGTGAGGCTCGCGGGAAAGACCTGCATCAGACGAAGTGGAAGAGCAGGTTTGGCTCAAGATAACACATTCTACACCGTCTTAACACAGATGAGCAGGAGAGATGTGTGTCCTCAAAGAAACGCTTCTGTGAGTGATAAAGGAAACCGGAGCGAAGACGAATGACTGCACTGGTCTGTGTTTAAGATAAGATCGTTCAGTGTTTGTTTGTATGGCCCTAAATCACAGCAGTCGTTTCCAGGGCCGTAATCCCCAACCTTTGTGAGCCGTGGCACACCTCTCTGCAACATTTCACATGGCACACCAGCGAATGAATTGATACAAAATTGAAACTCTACAGCCTTTAGGTCATTCTCATCAATGTGTATTCTAAAGCAAATCAAGCACAGTGCAGAGACATCTTCTAATCATCTCATATATTATTTTCTTTTCACATGATTTTGACTGAGCAGGTAATATTGAATCATTTCCAAAGCACATTAATAAACATCTCAAGACCCACTGGTTGAAAAACTCTGATCTGGGAGGTAGTTACAAAACTGTTGAATTCACCAGCACAGATCAGAGAATCAATCAGCTCAAACACAAGAAATGCAACGATAAAAAACACAAAGACATTGGGGCGGAGGAACACTGTCCATAAACGTTATTGAATTTTGAGTGTCCTGGATCATCATCGCTGCCCTTGGACCCAGCTCTTGACGATCTCACATTGGAGAAATTTACTGTACATGTTATATTTGGCTTCAATGGGACCGGTCAGAGTGTGCAGAGAGGCAAGAAATATGGAAACAGTAAAAAGTAAAAAGATATGAGATATTTTACCATGTTGAGCCATCATAGGAAAGCTGCCCTCATACTTGTGCGGGCTCCTGACCCCAGCCAACAGTGGGTATAACTCCTCATACCTGTGCGGGCTCCTGACCTCAGCCAACAGTGGGTATAACTCCTCATACCTGTGGGGCTCCTGACCCCAGCCAACAGTGGGTATCACTCCAGATTCCAGTGAATCTGAAAAAAAAAACAAAAAAAAAAAACAAGCACACCGGGGTAGTCTTGCACAGTTTTTCCAATGTGGTTTTACTGCAAATGGCAAATAAATGAATCTGAATCTGAATCTGTATAACTCCTCATACCTGTGCGGGCTCCTGACCCCAGCCAACAGTGGGTATAACTCCTCATACCTGTGCGGGCTCAGTTCTGAGAAATCAGGCCCACATTCAAATAAGGCTTGGTGCAAGGCCAAAATCTAAATCACTTCACTGGGACATGAGTAACATTAAAACCCAGCGTCCAGAATATGTGATGCAAGTGGTTGGCCCCTTTTATCATCTACCCCAACACCAATGCACACTATTACTAAGACCTGGCTACCAGCCAAAGGAAAAGTGAGAAATAAAAGTCCCAAGCAAACAAACATTCAGTTACAAAATAGATTTGCTCCATTGCAGCACCCAGCACTTACATCGGACCTGAAAAACTCCAACATCAACAACAACAACAACATCAAGAACAGGTGTGTATTGAGAGAATGTCAAAGGTCAACAAAGTGCATGAAAAAATAACCAGTGGGCCTCACACTCTAGTTGTGGGGGATTCTGCCATAAAACATGTGCGAAGCAATACAAACATCAAGGTCATGAGCTTCCCAAATGATAAGGTCTCTGATATGACTTTTTGTTGTTGAAAGATGCGCTGGGTAACGGCTGCAAGTCTTTGTTCTTTGTTCTTTACAATTTCTTTTTGTATTGCTTTTTTCTGCCTGAGATGTTGCTTCAGTACAGTGTGCAAAGTTTTACACTGGTCCAGACCAGAGCAGAGAGGATTCATGGTTTTACACTGGTCCAGACCAGAGCAGAGAGGATTCATGGTTTTACACTGGTCCAGACCAGAGCAGAGAGGATTCATGGTTTTACACTGGTCCAGACCAGAGCAGAGAGGATTCATGGTTTTACACTGGTCCAGACCAGAGCAGAGAGGATTCATGGTCCAAACCAAGCGGATCAGGTGAAAATCCACTGGAGGAATGCTGACTTTTTGAAACATGCTAACAGTCTTCCTGAGGATGTGAGACTGGCTGCCTCTCTGTCAATGTTCAAATCCATGTTAAAGACTTTTCTTTTTCCTGTGCATACAACTAGAGAATTTTATCTTTTTAACACACCTTGTTATTTATTGTTGTAACTTTTTGTGTTTTTAACTATTTTATTGTTTTTAATTACTTGTGTGATTCTTATGTTTTTAAATTACTTATGTGATTTTAATGCTTTTTAATTACATATGTGTTTTTAATTGTATTTTAATGGTGATGATTTGTGCATTGTGTGGTGTGGACTGTGAGGCGCTTTGTGTTGCCCTGTGCAGGAAAAGCGCCCTATAAGTAAAGATTGATTGATTGATTGATAATGAAGCATTTAGCATTTTACTTTGGACTAGAGCAGAGAAAATGCTCCAAACCAAGCGGCTACTCCATCTTTTGACCTGTCCTGCTCCACCCAGAGGCTACTCCACCTCTGCTGCTGTGACCTAAAGGGTCACAGAATTGTTTAAATATCACAACTTTGAAAGAAATAGTTTTTCAGTTAAAATCTACATATTCCTGCCTGGATGTTTTGCCTACAGATTTTTTTTTTAATATTTTTGACTGCATTTCACCAAATATCTTACAGATTGTCAATAATTCTTTCCAATCTGGACAGTTTCCAGAGGCTTTTAAAATGGCAGGGGAAAGTAAAAAAAGTAGAAAATTTGGGAAAGTACAACAAAAACTGCAGTATAGGGTTAGGGTAAGTGCAATAAAATACTGCACTTTACTGAAGTGAAAGTAGAACATGAGAGTCGGGTTCTCTCTGTTTTGATGTCCTGTTTTACCCTGGTCCTAGAGGTCTCTGATGGTGCTCTGTCTTGGACTGGTCCTAAAGGTCGCTCTCTAAACCAAATCGCTCTCTTAAACAGAACAGAAACAAAATAATAAAAAAATGATATTCTATAATTTCATAAAATACTTGAATAAAGAATATTTATTTATTTTATTTATTTTATTTATTTTATTTATTTTATTTATTTTACTTATTTTATTTATTTTATTTATTTAACCCATTAGCAACACAATTGTTACTAGCTTAAAAAACATAAGATAAGATAAGACAAGAATCCCTTTATTCGTCCCACAGTGGGGAAATTTCGATGTTGCATCGCACATATAGGACAGTAAAGTAAGAGCACACAGGGATCACACACGATACATCACTCCGCCAGTCTGAGAACACAAAACTCCATTTTCAGGACCTTTTTAAACTGCTATCAGAGACTGGAAAAACTGTTTTTATCTCTGGCCCTCTGCCAGGTTTGGTGC